TGCTATTTCATTCTTTTGAACCAAGATTTTAAGGAGGTAGATTGTGTCTTTAATCTGCTAGAGATTTCATATTTTTTTGGACCCAAATACAGCTTAGTTACTAAGCTTGATGAATTATAGTGAAATCCTATGGTATCAATATAGCAATTTCTGATTTTTTGGTTATTCAAATGTATATATAAAACCTAAAAAATTTATTTCGTTTCACATCCCCCACGTGCAAAATTTCTCAAGGCTTAGCAAGCTATGACAATCATCAACAGAGTACAAAGATCGGAACTAGAAGAGATAATTGTTTGCTTTACTTCTTTATTTACTGTTCTATGTTTTAAGAAAAATAAGTTTAAGAAGTTATTTGTAAATAGTAATAATCTAAAATACAACCATGACAGGTCACTTTGTAGACACTAAAGGTAAGTTTTATATTATTGTATATGGTAATATGAATGCACATGCATCTCATCATTGTAACTTTTGTACTATTAGCCAGGCATGGCTGAAAGGGAAATATAATAAAAATAATAAATATATATAAATGTAAGAATGTAATTTAGATAGTCATAAAAGCTATCATTCATTAAAAATAATGTATAGTTCATTGCTTTTTCTCAGCTTTTAATAAAACATTTTTGAAAAGACTCACAAATACTTCATAAAGAGCTTTGTGTTACTAATCATATTATGTATTTTTATACTTATTGAAAATAAACCTAATCAAGACAAGTTGGGATTTCAAAACATTTCTATAAATTCTAAATTAATTGACTTTAAAAAGTAATTCACATGTTTCATTTTCTCATTTAATAGATAATTTCATTTATATGTTTATGTTTAATAAACATTATAAGAAAAACATACATTCAGCCTACTGTTATTAGCTAAATTGCTGATGGATGTTACTGTTACCTATACTTCCAGAATTAAAATGTTATGAATTCAGTATTTTTTTAAATGATTAATACTTGGGATATAAAATTTAGCAATTATTCTGGATATGCTTATCTAAAAATTCTTAACAGATATAACTAGTTAGTAAAAAATAAACACTGAGATGAAGGTATTTCATTCAGTTCAATAAATAATTATTGTTTAAATGTTTTATTATAGCAGAAGATTTTGTACATATGTACCTCTTGAAGAGCTTTCCTGTCTATTTGTTTGGAGCCTTGAAGCAGTCGTATTACATTCTTTGCTCCTTCAACAACTGCACATTCTACCTTCAAACGATGGCGCAATTCTTCGGTGCGTAGCTCCAAGGGAGACATGACCTCTGGCAATTTTCCTACAGAAACAACAGCCACAATTAATTTAATATAATACAAAGGTAGATTCTTTCACCAACAAAAAAGCTAATGTCAATATTATTGTTTTGTATCCAGAAGCAACATTCAACCAACAGGCTAATAATTTTAAGTACTTATGTGGGTCTTCTTTTTCTTTGCTATTGACCCTAAATGAAACTTAATCCAACCTTTTCATAATAATTATGCTACTGCACTAAATGATTTTTTATTCAATTAAATAATGCATCAAAGAACAAAATAATAACATGTAAAAAGCAGACAATGTCCTATAACTATCACAATTTTTCTGGTTTTCTAACTATGCAAGAAGGGCTGTAAAACTTATCACACTTTATACAAATAGTATGAATATGCTAATATAATGATATATTAGGTCGTCAAGAAATTAATGTTGCTTTTTTTTACATGAAAAAACCCAAACAACTTATATATCAAAACAAAACATTTATTAAACGAAATAGTCTCCATTCTTATCAATGATACTTTTCCATCTTACAACCACGTTGTTAATGCCCTGATTAAAGAAATCAGTTGGCTTTGAAGCAAAAAAC